ACTAAATTGTATAACTTTTGAGGTTTGGGTCTTGCCTTTTTGTTAAAAAGTCTGCTGCGAAAAGGGGCGTCTTTTAATTTGAAATGAATACAATGAAGACCATTAACATGCACAAAACCCTATGTAACACATGACTGCACTGAAGGGAAAATCCCCAAAAACCACCAATGATGTAATGTGTGTGTGTGGCTGTGACATGTTTAATGCAAATTAAAACCGTTATATTGGGAATGTGATAGTGATAAACTGATGCCTTAACCAATCGCTATATCCCTACTTTAGTGAATTACAAATTTGTCATTACAATTGGCAAGCTAGTGCTGATGCTAAATGCTAACGTTCATTGCTTCTTTTGCAGTTAATTTTAATTTATGGCCAACACACAGCCTGCACAACTTGTTTTCGGGTGTCTGGATCACGACATTATAGCCTCTTATTCAGCTGCAGCAGAAAATTAGGTTTAGACCCCGTTTACATGAGAACAAAACGGGTTGGATCCGCATAGTTTCTCTTGCGTATAGCCCTTACATTTACACGAGGCCGTAACAAAACGATAGAAACGGACCCCACAAACGATAACGGGTCCCAAGGTGGATAGATTTGCAAACGAAACGCTCTGGGGGGTCAAACGGCTCTGTGTAATCGCCTCTATACGATCATTTCCCGATAGATGAAGCCATAGCCCTGCCTCTCCCCACCTCTGCTGCTCACTTCTGTAGCATGGTCAGTAGGGGTGTAACGGTACACGTACCCGTACCGAATCCTTTGGTTCGGTACACGTGTGTACCGAACGAATATAACGTTAAACGTAAAAAATTGAGAACGTGAACAACTTTTTGGAAGTAATCTCAGGTGCTGCGTCGCAGCATTCAGAGTAATTTGCTCACATTGGGTTCAACGCGTCATAGAGCGACCAAGTCATTTCATTGGATGAGAGGCATACTATGAGAGCTGGTCAGAGGGATGCGTTCAAATTTAGTCAGTAATTTGAGGAACTGTCGAAATGGCGAACGCAGATAAAGTTGAGCTCGAAAATCCTCCAGCATCATTGAAGTCTCCGGGTTGGGAACATTTATTTTGGTTTCGCAATTACGTACAAGGATGACGGACAAAGACAGGTGGACCGAACCAAAGCTGTTTCTAGGCATTGTTCAACTAATTGGTTACACGGCTGGCAATACATCAAACTTGCACACTCATTTGAAAAGGCATCACCCGAACGTGAATATCACCGGTACCAAAAGAAAAAAGACTGAAGTGCAAACCCAACTCCCACTAGCATTTAAGCCTCCACCACTTGCAAAAAGTTCAGACCGAGCCAAAGCTATCACAAACGCCAAATATCCTTATGTTGCCATGTTAGCAAAGCCCTACCTGGCTGTATCTGCTACCTCTGTCCCTAGCGAGAGGGTGTTCTCCACAGCAGGAGACATTGTGTGCCAGCAGATCTGCCCTTTCAGCAAGCAATGTGGACAAGTTCATTTTTCTTTAAAAAACCATGAAAATACAATGACAAGCAAGTCATAATGTCAAGCCGGCTGCTTAGGTACTAGTACAGTACAGTTCAAATACAGATTATTTCAGTTCATCGAAATGCTGCACCTTAATGTTTATTTTATTATATTTTGTATTTATTTGAGTGAATATTCACAGTTTAATAATAATTTAAAAACCCCAAACTANGTCTGCGCCGGAAGATGTGTAAGCTTTCTGCTGTCAATGGGGAGCTCATTCCACCATTTTGGAGCCAGGATAGCAAACCCACGAGTTTTTGCTGATGGGTCCCATCAGCAAAAACTCGTGGGTTTGCTATCCTGGCTCCAAAATGGTGGAATGAGCTCCCCATTGACAGCAGAAAGCTTACACATCTTCCGGCGCAGACTGAAAACTCATCTCTTTCGACTCCACTTCGAGCGATAGAATTACTAACAAAGCACTTATATACTAATAAAGGACTGGCTTATCTAAAGCCAGTTGAGTAGCACTTGAAATGTTTTAGCTCTATGAAACCTGATGTACTTATATGATTCTGTTTTCTTCAAGTTTGTATCTTGTTGGTCGAACGCACTTATTGTAAGTCGCTTTGGATAAAAGCGTCAGCTAAATGCAATTTAATGTAATAATCTTGGATTTTGCATACAGAAGATGACAAGGCCCTATAGGTGTGGCTTAATGCATAAACCATATACTCAAATATTGTCATGCATACAGAAAGACTTTCAGACTAACATACAGCCAGCTGCAAACCCAAGTCAGAAACGTTGGATGTCCAGAAGCTGAGAGAAGGGATGACAGGAGAGGGGAAACGCTGAGTGAGAAGTCAGAGTGAGTGTCAGAAGGGGGAAATCTGACAGCAGCAGGCTTTTTCAGAGTAACCGTCTGATAACCTTATCATGGCCTCCCCACACTGTAACGGCTGGAACAGGCCTGCTGTGTGCAGGGAGGAGTGGACAGGCCTTTGACTGAGATAGCACCCAGAGCTGGAACACTGTTCGATGGACGAGGGCCCCCTAGAGAAGAGACAGAAAAAAAAGTTGAAATCCTTACCACAGAACACAACAGATTGTCAGTCCTTTGTCCCCTCCTCCATATATCCATACCACAGAACACTGAGCTTCACAGTGTGATAAGCCAGGCTGGACGTCACCATTTATGTTTTTATTGAAGCTCTGATAGTGCTCACTAAGTTGATTCAAATTAGTTCGACATGCTTCAACATTTTATGGGTTCTTAATTGGCCCATGCTACACCCATCTTTCAAGTTACATGAAAATGGGTTCGGTAGTTTTTCTTGGTCCTGCTGAGAAACAGATAAACAAACCAACAAAGCAATCATAGTTAACAGTGTTTTCGTCCAAATTGGTAGACATAACCAAGAAAACCAATGAAGGGAGTCTTCTAGTTTATATTTCAGAGCAAACCTTTTTCTATCAAAGATGGAGGGTAACTGCCAAATATTTCAGCCATCATTGGTTCTTGTCCAGTGTTGTTGACGTTTTCTAGCTAATCTAAGGCCATGAGCCCTTTTCACTGCAGGTATTTTTACCTTGTCATAGCAGAGCAAGCACAGGTGTCACTGATAACGCTAACGATGGCTCAACTATCACAGTGAGCCATGTAGGTCAATCAGAGAGCCATCGTTAACATTATTGAGTACACCATGCAAATGTGAGCAGTCCAAAAAATCATCTTACACAGAATCAGATGGGTGACTCATATTTAAATAAATACTTTGTATTGCTGGCATGCCTCTATGTTGAACAAAATGATTACCCAAAACATTTAAAATGATAATGAATTGAACTAAGTTTGGGCTATGTTTTAAAAAACGAAAAAGTTCAAACTTCTTTAACTGTCCCACAACTCATGTAGCATTTATGCTAAACTCAAATATTCATAATGTATTTTTATGTAAGCAGTTTTACATTGGTTTGAGTACTGTTTAACAATTGTTAAATACCACCTTAATTGACTTCCATGTATCAATACTTTATTACGGTTTTCATTGTGGAGGCATTTCTTCTTCTTCTTCTTCTTCTTCTTCTTCTTCTTCTTCTTCTTCTTCTTCTTCTTCAGGAATCCAGGGAGTTAGTAATTGATGCAAAGGGAATCAGTTAGCATGTTCACAAACAATCAAAAATAAATAACTTTTCAATGGAACTCCAAATCTGCCATATTTTATTTACAAGCAGCAGCATATTGAAGAGATGCATGGATTTGTTTGTGGTACGTGTGTGTGTTTCACATGTTGGAAAAACATAATGTGAATTTGATAACTTTGAATTTTTTTGAGGACATCCTCTATACTCACTGCTTTACATCTTTAAGCTAATGTGAAACATGTTGCAGACCTGTCTTAACGTACAGGCTGATAACTCGATAGTTCCAGCACCAAAAACAACATCACATTAGCTGGCCTTCAATAAGGGAAGTTATTTTCCCAATCCCTACAACTGCACATGAATGCACCATTCCAGCAGTCATCACCAAAATGGCCCACTCAAGAACACAAAGAGAAAAATATTAAAAAAGCAAATATAAGTTGGTTAAGAAAACAATGTTATGCGTTGTACTCCCTTAAAGGCACAAGAGAAGAAGACAAACTAGAATCTAAGTAAACACAGTGTCACCTCACATTAAAGTCACCTTTGTAAAAACATCTTATATCACTTGGTAAACAAAACTGTTTTTCTTCAAAGTCTTCTTCTCTGAGGGGATGACATTCTGCTGACAGTTTCTGGGAGGGACCTCTTTACAAAGGTCACAAAAGAGTGTCTCTTTAGTTTCTGATAATAAAAAGATTAAATAAAATGGCTATGTAAATATTTGATCTTCAATATAAAATAATAGGAAGAAGACAGATCATTCAAGTGGACACAGAGTATTAAAAAAAAGTAATTTAGTTACTTGAGTTGTTTAATTTTGATGGAGGCATCATGGTATTCTCACCGCCAGAGGGTTTTCTCCATCATATATTTCCTTTGGTTTTACAGCGCCATCTCGTGGCCAAATGTACGCACTGAGTTCATTGTTACAGGTTTTTAAAACAAGTTTTTACCTGATTAAAAAAAAGGTGCGAGTATAGGGTGACGTACAGATGTGATAATGTCTTTGCATAATTTAAAAACATTATTTAACAATATCAAATTGATAATCAAGTCAAAAAACTACTAAATGTAATTAAATCATATATGATTCTACGTGTCTTTTTGGTATGTGAGTTGAATCTCAGCATTTAAATACATATCTGTTGCGTTTAATGATAATATGTTTCCAAATTGTTTACAGTATATATAAGTTATAGTAGTATCGGTAATGGCCACATTTAATGGTCGAAAAAAAAAAAATCAAGGTAAATGTCGACATCACTTTGTTTTTATTTTTATTATATACTTATTCAAATGAGTGGTAAATTCCCTGCATTTATTAAACAGAGAAACCCAATCTACAATAGGGGACGTACACTTGCGGAACCAACGTTAGCTGAACCTTGTTTCCGCACGGTGTTATTTTGAACATGGACACACACTCACACACTGCTGTAATTAATTGAGCGCGCGTTCTTACTTCTAGTTTATGGTTTAACTACATGTTTGTTAATGTGTCTGCATGGATATCCCAACTGATTCATCCACCATGTCGGAGAACAAGGAGCTCAAGCTGGACTTCATCTTGAAGGAGCTCACTCTGTCCCCGCAGGCTGAGGAGGCTGTCCCCGGCAGCTCGTCCAGCGTGGAGCTGCAGGACCAGAGGCTGGTGTGTGTGGAGTACCCAGCGGTGGTCAGCAGCTCGGACAGGATGCTGGAGACTCTCGGGGGGGAAAGAGCCGTGTCCAAAGTAAGCTGGCCGTCACTGGGACACACTGCTGTTGCTCTTAAGTCCTGGAGGTTAAAATGGGTGACTTAAAACAGTCCTACAAACCGTTCTAGTTCACTATTATGCTATCCATTATAGTGTATTTAAATGCCCTCACTTGTGACGTATGTTAAAATATCTTCCTAACAGTATGCTGTGTATGCAAACATGATATAATATAGTCATTGGTGTTCTATACCTTATATGATGGAATGTCGGAGTATTCTGATATAAAACTTCATGGCTTCCTTGTTAGCCAAAATACTACATTTCAAAAACATTTTGGACTAGCTTAAAATACAATTTTGTATTATTGGGTGAGCAATTTCAATTCAAGAATAATTTCATAAACATTTCAAGCATGGACATGATGTGTTAAAATGAAGAAAAAAAGACGGAAAAACTATTTGACATTAAGTTTAGAAAAGCATGGCTTCTTATTGTTGGACAACATAAATATTTTGAAACTACCGGTAACTTGAAAATGAATATTAACAATGGACACTATACATATTGTAACTGCATTTTTTATATTTAGATGCATCATTCGAGTCTCAAAATAAAATTGAACAATCCATTTTCATTAAAATGTTCATATACCTCTAAAGACGAAATCTGGCAATTTGAAAACAAATGCAGAAGTCTTTAGACACTTCATTTCTAAACTGCACTAATCTACCTGTCTGCATTTCCTGTGAATCCCACAGACCTTCGCTCATCCCAATAGGCGTCTTGAGCTGCGTTTCCGACCTCAGGATCCTTTCTGTCACTCCCTGTGTGGAAACCGCTACCCTTCGAGCAACCTGGTGCTCAGAGTGCGGCGTCGGGTGCGAAAGAAGGACCCCAAAGACGTTGAGATCCACATGGATATCCTGGGAGTCATTGCAACAACATACAAATTCCAAGGTTTAATTTAACCTCCTTGTTGTGTAGAGAAGTGTTTTCCCCTTTCACTAATGTGAGATATTTTCTTGACTTTTTCTTCACATGTATTGATTACATTTGCTTTTGTTCAGGGATGGCAGACTTCCAGTGCCTCGCTGTTGATTCAGAAGGTGGAAAAGACACTTCTTTGTACGATAAAATCATCCTGCGCAAACCCGAGAATCAACATTTCTTTGAGAAGCCCATTCCCCTGTTTATTCCCCCGGCCAGCTTTTCCCGCCTCGACACCCCGGTGGATTATTATTTCCGGCCTGACGTCAATCAAAATATAGCGTAAGGGAAAAACATAATGTAACCTTATTTGTCCTCTGTAAACAACAATATTGTACACTCTTAATTTTCAATGTCACTGTGCTAATGCAGCGTATCTGGAAAATGTTCACACTTTTTCAGCCAGCCCATGAACAAGAGCAACTTCATCGGTTTGAATCGAGCTCGTCGGCCCCACAACGCCATCTTTTTCAGCTTCAATGACCCAACTGTCCCTGGCGAGTGCCTCGAGGCGGCGAAACTCAACTGGAAGCGAGTCTGTGTGAAGGAGAGCGACAAGCAGGCCGAGGAACATTTGAGACAGGTATGTGTGCTGCTGCAGTCATGGTTACTGCTTAATGAAATCAGAAAACATAGAGGCTTGCTAGTATAATGAAAAATTATTAAGAAAAAAAATAATGAAGTTTGAATTAGGTTAAGTATTTTAATAAAGCAGGAGAGGCCAGTATCCAGGGAGGCTTCCCTTGAAAAGTTTAATAAGGGCTCATTAGTCAAACATTTTTTTTTTACAGCAAGAGTTCTTAGTCTGATCATGTTGTTCTGTTGCTGAAAGATGATTGTTTTTTGGTTACCAATCGTGAGTGTTTGCTTCCTTTCTCTGTTTTATATCATTTAGTTGGAATGCTGTTAACAGCATTCCAACTAAATGTTCTTCTACGGACGAAAAGTTTATTATTCCGCCGGTATTTTGGCCCTCTTCTCCTCCCGCATTGAACATCGCAGAAACTCAGTTCAAACATCAAAACGTTCAGCTTGGTCGGGAATCGATGGCTATTACTTTTCTCATTCATAACTTTCATAATTCCAGAGATAAATCCCATAATTCATCACACAGACTTCAACAAATCTTCATGCAACTTCAGCTGCTAACTGTTCATTCATACTTTCACTCAGAAACCTCATTCCAACTTTTAAAATGTTACACATCATTCTGACATTATTCGTGTAAAACAACTTTTAAGTCTGATTCTTACTTTTAGAGATATTAAAACATTGTTCAGACCTTGTTTTAGAGGTTTTCTTCAGATTTTAACATTAACTAGAGTGTGTGATGTCACAGCTAGAGTGGAGGACAGCTTGAAATTTGCATTCATATTTCTTTTTAAAACTGCCATAATTCCCAAACCTTACATTCTTGAGACATAATTGTTCATGATAAATGTAGGAAAACATCTCGTAGCTTGAAAAATGACAAATAATTAAGCAAAAATAATTAAACAAAGTGCCTCTTGAGGGCATGAAGTGACAAAAACATGTCTCCATTAAAGCCCATTGTAATTTCAGGCAGATATTTCCTCACAGCAGCAGCCGCACACCTTTTAGTTAAACTGCCAAAAAGGCATGTTTAACTAAACACAACAAGGCCTTGAAACACAGTTTTCTCATAACTTCAGTGAAAATACTCCAAACAGCCCAGAACTTCACAGGTTTGGTAACGATGCAGCCATCAACGCATCTAAGCGTAGTATGGGGTGTCATCAAATGCCGTTGCCATGGCGACAGACAACTAGCCATGATACAGGATGTCGCTGTAAGTCCAATCAGCACGGTCCATTCCGAACAAGTATTGTCTGAACTTAGCACCTCGAATAAAACAAACAACTGTCAATGGTTTGTTAGAATTGGCATAAAAAAAAAAAAAATATTAATTGGTACCCGAAACAAATAACCTAATCAATAGAAAAATGAAGAAACACCAGAAAGTCAACTGTAATGTCCGCTTGAGAGAAGAATAGGAACAGAAACAATCACAACGCAACAAAAACCAAGAGGCTACACAACATCAGAAGGGCTGAGAGAAGAAGACAGAAAACGGACACACAAGAAGGAATAAAGAGTGAGCGATCGACGACTCCTAAAGAGAACCCCCTTTTGTGTGAACATAAAAAAAAAAAGAGACATAGAAAAGTCATTAACAAAATACATAGTACACAACACATTTACAGATACACACAAACAGAAAAGAACTCCATACTCTAACAAAAATGTCACAGAGACAGACAGAAAATATACAGCACAGACACATAATAAGAAATATTCGGTACACGAAAAGACAGAGACATTTTGGTGCAACAGACAGAACAATGTATTGAGAGAGAAAAAAATAAACAGAGATAATAAGAGTGGACAGAAACAAGAGAACACAATACAGTCCAAACAACAAGTCTCGCAGAAGGAGAAAACCGAAAGTGACCGTACAGTCTATTCCTTATGGGACTTCCGACATTTCTTTAATTTGTCCCGGTCTACTTTACAAAGAATTAGAAACTACAATTTTTACCTTTTTTGGTACTTAAATTGCCTACTTGACCTTTTATTGGAAGACCATTTATTGCTACTCAAGGAGATCAAGTCCCGACAGGTTTGAAAAAAGTGGCTCCCGGTGTATGTCTTTTTCATATGCTTCCCGGATTGTTAGTTTACATTCAGTTACTCCGAACCACTCACAACCGTCGAGTAGGGAAGAATTTTGTTCTTTCGGAGTGTAACTAATATTATTCCTCTTATCTCCTTCCCACATAAAGTTCAAACGATACATTTATTCAGTAACCGAAAAAGAATAGTTGAGTTCTATACAATCTTTTACAAAGATGTAGAAATTAACTGACTAAAATACGACTTTAACCAGAATAATTGTGTACTTAACGAATGACACGATTATATACACAATGTAAATTCTTCATTATCGTATTCTGTTCGGTGTTCGTAAGGAACACCCGGTATAAAGGGTAATATGAAAAACTTAAAGCGACTCCGGCTAAACTATTCTAGGCGCCGGCGTAAACCGGAGGGCCCGGCATCAAATCTGTGGGGTGAGAATCAAGAATGGTACGAACCACGATGTGCTAGGACTTCAGGTCATCGACCATAAAGAACCTGAAGGAACCAGAAGGCCCCCAGTACGGTCGGAAGTGGGTGTCTGAAGGAGGTGCCGGGACAGTGGACATTCTCCTTTAGACTGCAAAGTGAAAAGAACACCCATCCCTTTTTTAGAAGGAAAAGTTAAATCAACTAGTAACGAAACCATTCAGTTGTAACATGAAGGAATGAAAGAAATATTTTGCGACGGAGATACTATCGAATATCATAACGGTAACAACTGGGTGTCCTAAAAAAAGACCCTTAGGAGTTTCCGCTGGTGGTTATCCTAAATAAAAACCGACCTTTAGAAAAGACTCTATAAAAGATAATATACTGTAAAATCAAGAAGAACATGTTTCGTTCGCTGAGGGACCTCGGAGTTAAGACGAGACTTTATTGTAGTACCTTATACCGTGGACTTACCGTAAAGGGGGCGGGGGGGGGCGGGGGCGGGTTTGACAAATGGTCCTTACGGGAAACGCACAGGGAGTCGAGTGGTACATCATCCCGCTTCAGCTGCCCGTTCGTCGGTCAAAGCTCAAATAGTCCCCCTACACCTACAACCGGGAACTGGCGCAAGGCCTGGTCTACCCGGCCGAGGAGTTTTTGTAGGATTCCTGTTTTTTCCAATACCGAACTCTAATGCTATTTTCAAACTGGACACACTACAATGCTATTATACTTGACAAATCACACTGTTCGTCCGATCAAGAACTCAGTTTTATCAACAAATACTGATGTTACCACTTCTCTCACTTGTACGAACGTTCTGTACCTACACACTTTTAGCGTCAAAATTTTTAAGATGTTTTATTTTTGAGGTCGGAACGTTACCACATACTCCTTTCCCCTACTTTAACTTCCACATACGTTTCTCTATCTGTTACACAAAACCACTTATTATGGTTTTCATAAAATTCCTCCGAAATAACATTCTCTTGTCCCTTCCTTATATTCCCGACGCTTGATTACTGACGGTGACATAACAATTCGTGTATTAATTTGTCACGAGACCATACTCACGTTTTTGAGAGAGATAATTTAGACGAGTAACTATTATGTCTCTAAGTCCGTCGATACAGGACTGTAGCGTTACTACATCATGGAAAACAATCTGACACGGTTCTCGTTCCTGACAAATCGATTCCGGGTCGAAATACACGTTCTTTGTTTCACTATTGAGTCACGTTATGAGTTAGCGAGACGGTACAAACATTGCTACGATCGATTTAAGTTGCGAACAACTCGCATGATACCACAGTAGTTAACGGCATCGTTACAGATACGTTGATCTACATTGTCCTACAGAGAACATTTATATTGACATACCTACAGGATAACAAAAATTTACAAAGTACACCTTGGCATCATATACGACGTCCAGACGAGAACTTTTGACTCTAGAGTGGTATACTGTTAGAGCAAATTTACTTTCCAACTTATAATTTACTTTACTTAAAAGTTATTTTAAGCGTCTCTTATAACTTCTTGCTAGTTGGTATAGTAATATACGATTGTAAGTACAATAATCTGAATATTGTCCAGCGTCATTCACCCAAAAAACCTACGGTAGCAGGTGTTCGTTTGGTATCTATAGACGTACTTTGCGTCCAAGGACCTTCTTGAAACGTCACCCTTAACCGAAATACGACTTTTCGGACTGCGAATTTGACCGCATACGACTTTACATTACACATTCTTCTTGTCCACTTCATAAATACTAAGTAGTCTACTATCTACCAGCTTCTTCTTCACTTCTTAAATCTAACTTTAAACTTTACCACAATTCTTCTTTCACTTCCTAAATCTAACTTCGTACTAGGTACTTGTGAACCCCGAACATTACACACTTTCTCTTCTTTCTTCACTTTTTCCGAACCTTTTCGTCGCGTCTTATAAACTTGACGTTTTGAAGACTTGATTGAAACTACCGCTTACTAGGCAGCGGTACCGCGCCGTAAACAAGCCGTAAACTACTGGTGGGGGTATTATGCGAATCTACGCAACTACCGACGTAGCCAATGGTTTGGACAATTCAAAACCCCGCCAAACCTCGGTCAAAGTGGCCTTCAATAACTCTTTGGCCACAAAGTACGCTCGTAACACAAACGGTACCGTTGCCGTGAAAACTTCTTTAGAGTTTTAGGCAGGGCATCTACAGAAAGTGGCGAACTGACAACATCGGTGTTTCACACTTCAAACTCGTGAAAAAATTGTAAAGAGATACTCAATTCGCTGTAGTACTAGAAATACCGCTCCTACGAAAAGGGTACCTTTGTCCGTAAATACCAACTCTAGAGTCTAAAAACGCATCTCGACAACTCCGTACCTGGCCACTATATGTTAAACCTT